GGGCTACACATTTTTAACATATACTCAACTTATCCTTTTAACAAGTATGATTTCTACACCTTTATATTTGATCAGAGATATGGTAAGATGTCAAGAGTTCCAAAATGATCACAATGTATATAGCACTGAATATTCTGGGGAATGCAAACAACCTGTCCAAGAACAAAATCACAACAAATAGAGTTTAAAGATCTCAATTGGCTTGATTTGTGATTCTAGAATCTGGCAACACTTCATTCCATAAAATAGAATAAATATTCTAAAGAGCTGTGCAGAAGAGTTTGGCTTTATAGACAGAGTTGCATAAAGTAGAAGCAAAGAACAAAGAGTATATTAGTTACTTTTCAAAGTTACATTTTCTCGTAAGGTGGGGACAAGGAGACAGAACAATAAAAAAGATAGGGTTAACATCAGGTTACTTTTTGTGGTAAGGAATAAAGCATAGGAAACTTCATTATAGTGCTGAATTGAAAATTTGTTTTCTATCATTGTTTGGAAAATTGGCTGTTACCTCTCTCCTGATTTCTTGGAAAGTCAGATCAGATAACTTGGTTTGGTGATGTGGAGTTTTAACATGGATGACTCCATTTTGATTTTTAGCCTGGTTTGTTGGGGCCTAGCATAGGAACTTAGTCCAAAACAATGGACTTCTATAATTTATTTAGCAAAATAAAAGTATAAATCATATCAGTACATATTTACTAAGCACATAAAAAGTCTTCTCTTCAAATAGCTTATGTTTCATTGAAATGAATTAAATACACGAAGCAATCAGAGAATATAGTCAAATGCTAAATTATACGTTGGCAGGAACTATAATACTTAAGAGTCTGCCCAGAATGGGTTTGGGTTTTCCTAATCTATACTCAACTTACCTCTGAGAAAAGAGCAGACTTTTGTATTTTCAAAATTGTTTCTTGCTAAATGTGTTTGTTTTTGATTGGATATAAGCAGGAGTCTAGAACAGTATTTACCAGTAATCTTACCCTTTATGTCTAGGAATGTGGGACTGATTAGTACTCTTGCTCTCGCAGCAGAATAAAAGAAATGCAATGTAGCAAGAATTCAAATATATTTAGGATTTATATATCTTAAAATCTCTGATGAGGAAATACAATCTTGTGTATTTGGTTTGGCTGTACTGTTTCTAGTTAATTTTAGGGGTAACTTTTAGAATCAGTTTTAGAACTCCAGCCCCAGATGACAATCTTCTGCTTAGTCATGGGGGGTTAGGTGTAATGCCACATGATGCTGAGAAGACTAGGACCTGTTACTACTTATTAACCTTGCTTGGCAATGACATTTGCAAAGGAAAAAAAAAATACCCTGTGTTCATAAATGTTGACCTGTTGCTATGTTGCAAAATCCTATTTGCCTTGTTTCCTGGTAATCTTCACTAATCTTTCAAGGAATCATCAGATGTGATGTATTTGAGAATGATGTGGCAGTAAAGTCTCCCAAAGGCTAACAGTATGTTTCTTAAGTTTTGTGATGTTTTGCATCATTTTCTATACTATTTGTTGTGGGATCAGTGTTAGCTTCTGATTTTAAGAAATGGAAGAACTGAGACTAAGTAGTTTTTCAGAAAACCCCATGCTTCTACAGTTTTAAGTAGTCTTGAGGAGCAATGATATGTTTCACTTGACAAACTAATATGGACAGGAAGACAGATTACCTACCATTTCTATTATTAACCTATATGAGCAAAGCACACACATCTCTATGCCTAAGGAATAAGAAAGTGCCCGCTCTGTTCTGGCCTTTGAAACATGTTGTTGTTGTTTTTTGTTTTTTTTTAGCAACTAGAAACCTGTTTCATAAAAACTATTTAGCTAACAGGATTCAACTGATAACATATATTCTTGCTATTTAGACATTAGCAAAAAAAAAAAAAAAAAAGTCCCCCCTTTTAGCGTTCATGCCATTAAATTTGTATTATATCTTTATGCATCAGGTCAATAATCAAAACACTTGCTCTTTTGCTTTCCAAGAAGAATTCATAATGCTGTCTGTAAGATTCACGTGAGTGTAGTCGAGTGTAAAATATAGTCAACTTTTGTTTTTTGGTTTTTTTTAGAGACAGGGACTCCTTATGTTTGCCAGGCTGGATGTTCCTTTGTTTGTTTTTTAAATCTGGCAACAAATTGTAAATAGTCTAAGGCTGTTTTTGAACTCCTGGCCTCCAGGGATCTTCCCACCTTGGCCTTCCAGAGTGCCGGGATTACTGGTGTGAGTCCCCATGGCTGGCCACTATTTTTTTGCTTGTTTTTGAGACAGCATGTCACTCTGCGGCGCAGGCTGGAAGTACAGGGACACAATCATAGCTCACTGCACCCTCCAGCTCCTGGGCTCAGGTGATCCTCCTGCCTCAGACTCCTGAGTAGCTGAGATTATGGCCATGTGCTACAATACCAAGCTAATTTTTTAGAAATTTTTTGTAGAGATGGAGTCTTGCTGTGTTGTCCAGGTGTTAGCCACCACTCCTGGCTGACTTTTATGAATTGTTTTTGTCTAAATGTAATGACGCTTTAACGTATTGGGGAAAATGTGTATATACTGCTTAGGGATATAGATGCATATAAGAGATTGCTTTTTTAAATCTGCGAATAGTAAAAAAAAATTGATTTTGGTCTTTTTACTTTCTAAGTATATTATTTAAATTATAAGTAAAAGTTTGAGTGTATTCCATTTTAAATGTGGGGAATGTTGACAAAAATCACTAGATCCCTAACTTTTAACTTTTTGGAGGAATCATAATTGTTTTATTTCATGTATACTGTTTCTTTTGTACCCAGAAGTACTCTGTGGCTTATACATATTTTTCCTTTTTTTAAAAAAGTTTTTATTATAGAAAATTTGAAGTAAATGGTATAGTGTGATGAACCCCCTTCTACCCATCACACTGTTTGAAAAATCATCAATATGATACTACTTTTTTAGTATTTATACCTCTATTTATTATTCCCCATACCTCTATCTATTATTCCCCATCCTCTCTACTCAACAGTTTTGTTTTTTTTAGGTAAAATTCATGTACATTGAGATGCACAAACTTAAGCTGTATAGTTACAACCATGTAACACTCACCTATCATAGTATAGAACATTTTTATCTCCCCAGAAATTTCCCTTATATACCTTTCAAGCCCATCCAGGCAACCACTGTTCTCTAGATTTGCCCGTTTTAGAATGTCATATAAATGGAATCATGCATTATGCATTCTTTGTGTCTAGCTTTCCCCCTACCAACATTATATCTGTGAGATTCATCCATGTTGTTTGTTGTATTCCTTTGTTTTGCTGAGTAGTAGTCTGTTGTATAAATAGTTACAAACCACAGTTTGTAACTCCATTTTCTTTTTTTTTCTTCTTTTTTTTTGAGACAGAGTCTCGCTTTGTTTTCCAGGCTAGAGTGAGTGCTGTGGCGTCAGCCTAGCTCACAGCAACCTCAAACTCCTGGGCTCAAGTAATCCTGCTGCCTCACCCTCCCGAGTAGCTGGGACTACAGGCATGCGCCACCATGCCCGGCTATTTTTTTCTATATATATTAGTTGGCCAATTAATTTCTTTCTATTTATAGTAGAGACTGGGTCTTACTCTTGCTCAGGCTGGTTTTGAAATCCTGACCTCGAGCAATCCACTTGCCTCGACCTCCCAGAGTGCTAGGATTATAGGCGTGAGCCACTGCGCCTGGCCGTAACTCCATTTTCTTAACCATGAATATTTGGGTTCTCTCTAGTTTTTGCTTTTATGCTATGAACATTTATATACAAGTCTCTGGGTAGATTTATGTTTTAATTTTTCTTGGATAAATACTTCTGAGTGGAATTGCTGAGTCAAAGGACAGATACATTTTTAATTTTCTAAGAAACTGCCAAACCTTTTTCAAAAATAGTTATAGGCCTGCTAGTAAAGTGTGAGTGTGGTTGCTGCATATCCTTGCCAACATTTGGGTTGTCAGTTATTTTTAATTTTAGCTGTTCTAGTGAGCACCTATACATATTTTGTAAAGGAAATTAAAATAAAATTTTATTTTGAGAATTTTATGGCAACTCTTGAGATAATTGGAAATACTCTGTAATTTGCTACATGTCTTAAGATCCTTTTAAGGTTTGAGTGCTGATCAGGATAGTATCTCTGAGGCCCAGGATATCCTCACCCAGTAATCTATAGCTAGAGTTTATGAGGGAAAATTAGTACTAATCCTTTATATCCATTTTAACACCTTATGGTTTCCAAAATATTTTCTCATGCATTTCTTCTTGACAGCAGATGTGTTTCCCGTTTTATAGAAGAAGGAATAAAGACTCAAGGGAGCTTGCATAAGATTGCCTAAGGTTTCAGGGACTAAAATTTATGACTTCTGACCTAGCTTGTCCTGTACTCTTCTATTAGCACTTCAGAGTGACATATGTAGAATTAACTGGATATGTGTCTTTGGCTTGCAAGTTTAGATAAATTGATAAATATAAGAAGGTTTTTCTTGGAGGAAGTAGCTGTAGGAACATCTCAGTATTGGTTGTATTCCACAGAATGTAAGACAGTCTTGAAATATATACTGGCCATTGATTTGTTCTTTTCATGTGACTTCTAAAGGAATTATAGAAGTTGTTTTAGTCTTTATCGTAGATCAGCTGATATGGTTATAAAGATATTATAGTTGGTACCTTAAGTATATTACTGAAAGTCCTAGAATTAATTTTGGAACTCTGTTTATAATTTTCAGAGTTCTTTTAGGAGCCCATGTCTATTATTCCTAGGACCATTCTCTTTGTACACTTAGATGGCTTTAGCAGTAAATATCTGTCATCACTCTCACTGTTGTGGTCAGGAGGATAACATAGCAGGTAATCTGAACCAAATGGTTGGGATGAAACTCCACTAAAGTGAGTAATATTTACGGTTTTCCAAAGCAAATTTCAGTTAAATTTTTTCAACAATAAATCTGTTTTTGCACCATTATCAGATATTAATGTAAGTAATTTGTTTATTTTATTTTAGTGATGTTCTCGCATTACCCATTTTTAAGCAAGAAGAGTCAAGTTTGCCTCCTGATAATGAAAATAAAATCCTACCTTTTCAATATGTGCTTTGTGCTGCCACCTCTCCAGCAGTGAAACTCCATGATGAAACCCTAACATATCTCAATCAAGGTTAGATGCTCCCTCATTCATTAGTATTATTACAGATCTGCAGGATTCATATCTACACTTACCTGTAAAAAGTTAGATCTTTCTAGTGTGACCTGTCAAACTAGAAGTCTTAGTTCAGAGATTTGAGTTCTAAGGTCATATTTGACTTATTTATTTATTTATTTATTTATTTTACTGGCTTCTTTTGCTTACCTGCCCATTTTGTTTCCCAATTCTGTCTTTCTAATCCATGTTCCCTAGATATCCCCATTGGTTACTGTCTGAGAAGTATTACCCTACCCAGCTCTATTATTTACCAATTGTGTGGCCTTTGACAAGTTGTTTAAACTCTTTAAGTTTCAATTTTCTTATCTGTAAAAATGGGATTGTTAATACCTTAAAAATTTGTATCAGTTAAACGAGATAATATATGAAAGTACTTAGCAGATTACCTAGTTCTAGTAGGCTTATAGTTGTTACTAATACTAATAATGTTGTTATACTCTTGTGTATTCAACCACCTGAATTTTACTTTTTCTGAATCTAGCAAAGTTAATTTATGATAAATATAATATGCAATTACTTTTTCTTCTAGGACAGTCTTATGAAATTCGAATGCTAGACAATAGGAAACTTGGAGAACTTCCAGAAATTAATGGGAAATTGGTGAAGGTAAAAGAAAATAAGTAAATCATTCCTCTGCACAATATATATATATTACTAATATTCTTTTGCTTTCATAAAGGGCTTAATGCTAGATGGTATCTTTTACGTGCCACAATTTGTTGGCAGAGTAGTAAACAGATGTATTATTTCTCTGGAGTCAGAGTAAGCCCTCCCAATTCATGTGAATTTTTCAGATCTTCAGAAACAAAGGCTTACCAGTCCCTGTCCAGGGTAATCCCTTGGCTCAATGCCGTTCTTTTGGATGGAGTAAAGTAACCTCTTTGAGATTGTCAGAGATGCTTCAGTGTCTCTTTGGTTGCTTGGTCTTGTAACAAGGAAAACAGAAGCTACTGTTGATGAATAGCAGTTCTCTTAGTCTAGCTTGAGTTAGCAAGCAGGGGACTTGGTGAGTTTTTCATATACATTTGAAGAACTGAGCCTGATATTACATGGTAATTCAGTGTTTACAAGTTGTATGGTGAGTTAGCAAGCTGGGGACTTGGCGAGTTTTTCATATACATTTGAAGAGCTGAGCCTGTTATTACATGGTATAACAGTAGAGGCATGTAGAAATGCTTCAGATAAGAGTCTTTTCTGCCTAATTACCATTAGGACTGATGTTTAAGCCAAATTTTATTTTTTTGAGACAGAGTCTCGCCCTGTTGCCTGGGCTAGAGTGCCATGGCATCAGCCTAGCTCGCAGCAACCTTCAACTCCTGGGCTCAAGCAATACTTCTGCCTCAGCCTCCCGAGTAGCTGGGACTACAGGCATGCGCCACCATGCCCGGCTAATTTTTTCTACATATTTTTATTATTTATTTATTTTTAAAACTTTTATTTTAATTATACGCTCGGTGGTGGTAAAGAATATGGCTGGCTGTCTCGTGTGCTCCTGGCTGGCATACTAATTGGAATACACTTTTTTTTTTTGACAGAGTCTCACTTTGTTGCCTGGGCTAGAGTGCCTTGGTGTCAGCCTAGCTCACAGCAACCTCAAACTCCTGGGCTCAAGCGATCGATCCTTCTGCCTCAGCCTCTTGAGTAGCTGGGACTACAGGCATGCGCCACCATGCCCGGCTAATTTTTTCTATATACTTTTTTAGTTGCCAATTAATTTCTTTCTATGTTTAGTAGAGACGGGGTCTCACTCTTGCTCAGGTTGGTTTTGAACTCCTGACCTTGAGTGATCTGCCCACCTCAGCCTCCCAGAATGCTAGGATTACAGTCATGAGCCACCGTGCCCAGCCTAAGCCAAATTTTTTTTTTTTTTTTTTTTTGAGACAGAGTCTCTCTTTGTTGCCCAGGCTAGAGTGAGTGCCGTGGCGTCAGCCTAGCTCACAGCAACCTCAGACGCCTGGGCTTAAGCAATCCTCCTGCCTCAGCCTCCCAAGTAGCTGGGACTACAGGCATGCGCCACCATGCCCGGCTAATTTTTTATATATAATTGTATATATATATATATTAGTGGCCAATTAATTTCTTTCTATTTATAGTAGAGACAGGGTCTCACTCTTGCTCAGCCTGGTTTCGAACTCCTGACGTCGAGCAATCCACCTGCCTCAGCCTTTCAGAGTGCTAGGACAGATTTTAAATATGGTGCCAGTTAACAATATTGATTATATCTGAGAAATTACACAATTTATCCTGAAATAGTGCTTGTTATGGTATGGATTTTAGTGTAAAATAGGTCTTAAGAAAAATAATTTTAGATTGTGTCTAGAAACTAACTGGCAGTGACTCCTGCTAGTTTTCCTCTGTCAGCACTGATTTTCAAGAAACCTATTATCATTTGATTTTGTTGTATCCTTTTAGAGTATATTTCGCGTAGTGTTCCATGACAGAAGGCTACAATATACTGAACATCAACAGCTGGAGGGCTGGAGGTGGAACCGACCTGGAGATAGAATTCTTGACATAGGTGAGCTTAAGAGAATCTATGGCGTAGGAAATGGCTTTAACTGTGGACTAAGAGTTGGTTTTCTTTACTTGACATTTACCTTGATTCAACTATTTCAGAGGCTCGAGTAGGATGGACCTTGGACTAAGCATAAAAGATTAATTGTATAATGATATCAAAATTGAAGTTGGACACTTCAGTTCCATATCAGTTGCTTCTATTACTTAAGGGTGATTTTGTTTTGTTTTTTAAGTTGTAAATATACATAATATAAAAGGTATCACTTTAGCCATTTTTAAGTATACAGTTCAGTAGCATCAAGTACATTCACACTGTTGTATAACCATCACCACCATCCATCTCCAGAACTTCTTCCATCTTGTAAAACTGAAACTCTGTACCCATTAAATAATAACTCCCCATTCCACCTTCTTCCCAGCCCCTGATAACCACTATTTTCCTTTCTGTCTCTATGAATTGGACTACTCTAGGTACCTCACGTAAATGAAATCATACAGTATATGGCCTTTTGTGACTGGCTTTTTTCACTTAACATAACGTTTTTAAGGTTCATCCATGTTGTAGCATACATCAGAATTTCCTTCCTGTTTAAGGCTGAATAATATTCCATTGTTTATATATACCACATTTTGTTTATACATTCATCTCTTGATAGACATTTGGGTTGATTTCACCTTTGACTATTGTGAATAATGCAGCTGTGAACACGGATGTACAAATATTTGTTTGAGTCTCTGCTTTCAGTTCTTTTGAATATATACCCCAAATGGAAGTGCTGGAAAATAGAATGGTAATTCTATTTTTAATTTTTTTGAGGAAACACTATATTGTTTTCCACAGTGACTACACATTTTACTTTTCTACCAGCAGTGTTCAAAGGTTCCAATTTCTCCACATCCTTGCCAACATTTGTTGCTTTCTGCTTTTCTTTGATGATAGCCATCCTAATGGGTGTGAAGTGGTATCTCATTGTGCTTTTTTAATTTTAATTTTAATTTATTTATTTTTAAAAAAAGAATAAATATTTGGTATTCAAGTAATTTCTTTCTATTTTTAGTAGAGACGGGGTCTCGCTCTTGCTCAGGCTGGTCTCGAACTCCTGACCTCAAACGATCCACCTGCCTCTGCCTCCCAGAGTGCTAGGATTACAGGCAGGAGCCCTGCTCCCGGCCTCATTGTGCTTTTGATTTTTCCCTGGTTAGTGATGTTGAGCATCTTTTCATATGCTTATTGGCTATTTGTATATTTTCTTTGGAGAAATGTCTATTTAAATCTTTTACCCATTTTTGAATTGGGTTGTTTGGTTTTTAGTTGTTGAGTTGTAGGAATTCTTTATATATTTTAGAATGTTAATCCCACATTAGATATATCTATGCAAATATTTTCTTCTGTTCTGTGAGTTGCCTTTTCATTATGCTGATATGTGTCCTGTGGTGAACAAAAGTTTTAAATTTTGAGGTAGTCCAATTTACCTATTTTTTTAATTGCCTGTACTTTTGGGGCTATATCCAAGAAATCATTGCCAATTCCAATGTCATAAAACTTTATCCATAAATTTTCTTCTAACAGTTTTATAGTTTTAGGTCTTACAGGCAGATTATGGATCCATTTTGAGTTAATTTTTGTATATGGTGCAAAGTAAGGATCCAATTTCATTCATTTGCATGTGAATATACAATTTTCCAGCACCATTTGAAAAGATTGTTCTTTCCTCCATTGAATGGTCTTGGTACCCTTATCAAACTTCATGTGACCATATATTTGAAGACTTATTTCTGGGCTCTCTATTCTAATTGTTTATGTGACTATCTTTATGCTTGTTTTGGTAAGTGTAGCTTTGTAGTAAGTTTTGAAATCAGGAGCATGAGGTCTCTAACTTTTTTTTTTTCAAGATTATTTTGGCTATTAAGGATCCGATATTTTGTTTGAGAGGTATGTAAAAGGGGCCAGGTTTTTTTTCCCAACATGCTGAAAATTTCTGTATTTTACTAGTGCTTGAGAACAAGATTAGTGGTATGTTCTACCTAAAGTGGGAGTTCTGGAATTGGAGTCTATGTCTCTTGGTTTGCAGGTTAGTTTTTCCTTACTACTTTGCTATACAGAGTAGAATTTGTCTTTCCTAAATCATAGTGTATAAGGGAAGGATCTTCATAAACACACAGTCACTTTTCCTGAACATACTTTTAATCCTGGCATCTGTACCTTTGATCTCCAATTGGTTAATACCTTCTATTGATGAATATAGTTATTAAACAAATTTAAGTACTACTGTTACAGTTTTACCTTAGAAAACAGTTTCTCATGCAGTTTTCCTGATATCTGTATGGTAAACTGACCTTAGGATGAATTTAACACAACTAATACTGTGTAGTGGGACCCGCTTGATGCTTTCTTGTGTGAATCATTGATATCAAAATAGTAGTATAGTTATAGTACAGTTATAATAATAAATAATATCACGTGTCTTTATCTCCCCAGTTTGAATATTAATAGAAGTCAGGGAATGGTATTTGAGTATCTGCTGTGTGGGATGAAAAACAAATTTGTGCTTCTAGTGGTGACACTAATCTTAAGACTGTAGGTGAGGCCGGGCGTGGTGGCTCACGCCTATAATCTTAGTACTCTGGGAGGCTGAGGTGGGAGGATCGCTCAAGGTCAGGAGTTCAAAATCAGCCTGAGCAAGAGTGAGACCCAGTCTCTACTAAAAATAGAAAGAAATTAATTGGACAACTAAATATACATAGAAAAAATTAGCTGGGCATGCTGGCACATGCCTGTAGTCCCAGCTACTTGGGAGGCTGACGCAGAAGGATTCCTTGAGCCCAGGAATGTGAGGTTGCTGTGAGCTAAGATGATGCCACGGCACTGTAGCCCAGGCAACAGAGTGAGACTCTGTGTCCAAAAAAAAAAGACTGTAGGTGAAATAGATTATAAATAACAATTTTCATGACAGTAGAGTTAGTATGTAGATTTAATCCACCTTAAGTAGAATTTTGGCAAATTAAAAGGAAACTGCTTTTAAATTGCCTTATTTATAAAACTTGAGAGAGGAAAAAAGGTATTCAGAATGAAAGTACTTAAGTCAGTTTCAACTGTAATCAAACCTTTTTCATTGGTAAAAAAGAAATTTAGGGTGTGATACACAAAAATCTTTGCAACTAGGGACAAGTAATGCAAGAATTAGTGCTTTCTTATCTAAAACCGAATAGCTTTCAGAATTGTTCAATGATTACCATTTTGTTTCTCAGATATCCCAATGTCTGTGGGTATAATTGATCCTAGGGCTAATCCAACCCAACTAAATACAGTGGAGTTCCTGTGGGACCCTGCAAAGAGAACATCTGTGTTTATTCAGGTAAGGCCTTGCAGATGGGGTTCTAGTTATGAAGAAGCACGTCTTACTACCAGTTTGTTTCTTAAAGGATAAAACATTAAATTTGAAATCCTAGCCTGACTGTCAAGTCCAGACCACTCAACACGTGCCTTAGAGCTATAGTCCCCAATCCCCAGAATTCAGACCCTTGCCAGTCGATAGCCTCTTGGGGGCCAGGCCCTGGGGTAGGAGGTGGGCAGTGGGCAGGTGAGTGAGCAAGGCTTCATCTGTGTTTGCAGCCATTCCCCATCGCTCGAATCACCACATGGGCTCCACCTCCTATCAGATTAGTGGTGGCATTGAGTTTTCATAGGAGCCCAAACCCTACTGTGTATTACATACAGCAAGGGTTCTAGGTTTCCGAGCTCCTTGTGAGAGTCTGGTTTCTGATGATCTTGGGTTGACCTGGGTAAGTGGTCCTCGTACTGGGGAACAGCTAGCTGCAAGTGCAGATTGTCATCGCCAGAGAGGTTTGACTACACAATGAATATGGTTTGCGTGGGTCATCCTGGCACTATAAGTCTGCAACTTCCCAGTCTCCCCTCCATGGAAGGATTGTCTTCTATGAAGCCAGTCCCTGGTGCCAAAAAGGTTGGGGACCGCTATCTTAGATCATTGAGGAGTTTCTGTATTGCTCATCTAATTACCTCAATTTATTTATTTGTATCTCCCCCAAATACTTGCTAACGGCTACATAATATACCATTTTTTGGGTGTACCATAACTTACCTAACAATTCTTTTGCATTTAGATTGACCTTATTTTATCCTATTATCCATAATGTTATTTTGAACATCTTTATACTTTTTTATTTTTAGGGGACGGGGTCTCACTCTGTTGCCCTGGGTAGAGTGTAGTGGCATCATCATAGCTCACTGCAACCTCCAACTCCTGGGCTTACTCAATCCTCCTGCCTCAGCCTCCCAAGTAGCTGGGACTACAGGTGCACACCACCATGTACCTGACTAAATTTTCTACATTTTGTAGAGATGAGGTCTCACTCTTGCTCAGGCTGCTCTCAAACTCCTGAGCTCAAGCAATTCTCCTTCCTCAGCCTCCTAAAATGCAAGGATTACATGTGTGAGCCACCAAGCCTGGCCTTTACTTAAGAATTAATTTGCATATCTGATTATATTCTTTCAGTAAATTCTTTGAAAGCCCCTATTTGTATTAATGATAGCTAATAGTTTATTGAGTAGTTAACATGAGATAGTCACTGTGCTAAGTAAACACTTTGTATACAATGATTTTAAGACTTCCTACAGGCTGGGAGTGGTGGCTCACCCCTGTAATCCTAGCACTCTGGGAGGCTGACGCAGGCAGATCGCTCAAGGACAGGCGTTCGAAACCAGCCTGAGCAAGAGCAAGACCCCATCTCTACTAAAAATAGAATGAAATTAATTGGCCAACTAAAAATGTATAGAAAAAATTAGCCGGGCATGGTGGCACATGCCTATAGTCCTAGCTACTAGGGAGGCTGAGGCAGGAGGATTGCCTGAGCCCAGGAGTTTGAGGTTGCTATGAGTCAGGCTGACGCCATGGCTCTAGCCAAAGCAACAGAGTGAGACTCTGTCTCAAAAAAACCCACAAAACTTTCTACAATAATCTTTGGAGTAGGAATAGTCTTTGAGGCTTAGAGAGGTTAAGTAACTTACCAAGCTAGTAAATGGCTAGTCAGACAAGGTTCCACTATTAAGATTCACCAATCTGTCATTATGCAGTAGCCAAGCAACCATTTTCTCCCCTATTGCTGTGAGCTTTCATATTTACTATTTTCCCAGTGTGGATAGTGCTGCCTCTTTCCAAAATATTCTTTAAAGTCGAACAAACTTTTACTAACAGAAATCATTTCTCTTTTATGTTAACTCTATATTCTCTCAAACAGTTAATCAATTTAATTCCTCACAGTAGCTTTTGATAGCATTTTGTTAGATCTATACATTTATTTGATATTCATAAATCATTTAAGTTTTTCTCATTTCATCCATTAGACTGTAAATTCTTCCAGATCAAAAAGAGAGAAAGTGGTTTTGTAGGTGTTCATAATGCCTGTTAAATGTTTTGCTGTTAGTAGTTCCTAAAAAAATACTGCTGACTGGTTTGGCATGTGTCTTTGTGAAGATCCTTCCCTTCAGCAGCACTGAAGCCTTGATGTTGGATTCTTTTCAGGTGCACTGTATTAGCACAGAGTTCACCATGAGGAAACATGGTGGAGAAAAGGGGGTGCCATTCCGAGTACAGATTGATACCTTCAAGGAGAACGAGAACGGGGAATATACCGAGCACTTGCACTCGGCCAGCTGCCAGATCAAAGTTTTCAAGGTATTCTTGGCAATGTGCTGGCTCTTGGATTCTTTTTCTTTTTCTTCTTTTTTGAATTTTTTCTTTTTATGAAGGGTGGGGAGTGAGGAAGGGTTGAATTCCCCCCCCTTTTTTTTTTTTTTGGTAAGAGTCTTACCTCTGTCATGGTGGAATGCAGTGGTGTCATCGAGGCTCACTGCAACCTCAAACTCCTGGGCTCAAGCGATCCTCATGCCTTTTTGAAAGAATTTTTTGAAAGCTCTTAATGCCTGTTAAAGTTAAAAGCTTTTGTAAAGCTCACAAAAATTATGGAAAGTTGACTATTGTGGTAACAATCATAACTGATATTTCCTTATTTTGGTCTTTATTTATTTAATTTTTTGAGACAGAGTCTTACTCTGTTGCCCGCTAGATGCCATGGGATCAGCCTAGCTCACAGCAGCCTCAAACTCCTGGGCTCAAGTGATCCTTCTGCCTCAGTCTCCCAAGTAGCTGGGACTACAGGCATGCGCCACCATGCCCGCTAATTTTTCTATATATATTAGTTATCCAGCTAATTTCTTTCTATTTCTAGTAGAGAGCGGGGTCTTGCTCCTTGCTCAGGCTTGTCTCGAACTCCTGAGCTCAACAATCCTTCCATCTCGGCCTCCCACAGTGCTAGGATTACAGGGATTACAGTGCTGGCCACACGCCCAGCTGGTCTTTATTTTTATACGTGGGTAAATATTATTATGTTCTCATTGCAAGAGATTTAGTAATACAGAAATAAAATCCCTGTTACCAATCTTACTTGAATCCCCAACCTCTCCCTGATGGAACCACTGTCATGATTTGGTATATGTTCTAGTCCTCATCTATGCTTTATACCACATGTATATAGGTATACACATATTTATTTCCTTGAAGCATAAATGGGGTTTACTATATTAATTGTTTTGAAACTCGATTTTTTCAGATAACTATGTGCTTTAGAGATCTTTCCATGTCAGTAGCTATAGATATGTTTTATTCTTTTCCAACTCCATCAAACATTTAAATTTCCTATTTTCAAATTTAGGCCAGATGATGCATCTTTTTTTTTTTGAGACAGAATCTCACTCTGTTGCCCAGGCTAGAGTGCTGTGGCATCAGCCTAGCTCACAGCAACCTCAAACTCCTGGGCTCAAGTGATCCTTCTGCCTCAGCCTCCCGAGTAGCTGGAACTGCAGGCATGCGCCACCATGCCTAGCTAATTTTTTCTATATATTTTTAGTTGGTCAATTAATTTCTTTCTATTTTTAGTAGAGGTGGGGTCTTGCTCTTGCTCAGGCTGGTTTCAAACTCCTGACCTTGAGCGATCCTCCGGCCTCGGCCTCCCGCGTTGGCCTCCCAGAGTGCTAGGATTACAGGCATGAGTCACCGCCAGGCCCCGCATCTTGCCTTTATATTATGGCACATACCTCTTAGTTTCATATGTGGCTATTTACATTTTTAGAAGCAATATTGTCCGGTTAAAGGATGAATACCTGATTTTAAAACAAAATATATCTCATTTCAGCCCAAAGGTGCAGACAGAAAGCAAAAAACAGATAGGGAAAAAATGGAGAAACGAACACCTCATGAAAAGGAGAAATATCAACCTTCTTATGAGACAACCATACTCACAGAGGTAAGGGATTTCTTTTGGTGACAATTTCATTTCATAACTTTTATTCTTAAAAGGAAAATCCATCACCTCCTGGATTTGATCTAGCCTGATCAAAATTTTCCTGAACATGTATGTTCTTTATTACTTATTGGGTCCTCTGAAGAATGAAGATTTACTAATTAAGATCTGCTATTCAAGTATAATAACAATATGTTATTGGAACACTTGGATCAAGTGTGCTTTTTCATTATCTAAGCTATCCTTTGATTTTAGTGTTCTCCATGGCCTGAGATCACATACGTCAATAATTCCCCATCACCTGGCTTCAACAGTTCCCATAGCAGTTTTTCTCTTGGGGAAGGGTAAGTCTGAGAAATAAAATTGTCAGGTATTTGTCCCAGATATGTATTTTTTCATTATCTTTCCATAAATAAGGTTTTTTTAAAATCAGTAAGTACTTCTATTTGATCAGTTTTTGATGGATTTATATATTAACTGAGGTTTGGATTATCTTCAAAAAAGACTGAAAGAGTTTTATATGGCCCTTCTCCCCTTCCGCCTCCCCCCTTTCCTCTACTCTTCCTCCACATCTTTCTCCTCTTCTCTCTCCCCCATTAGAAAATAGCATTTATTGTCAATTTTTAATGATCCAGGGACTGATCATCTGGGCTTTTTGCTTCTTCCTATTACTGCTCATCTTGTGGTTATTTCACTTCCTAATCTTACTTGCACCAAAGTGGTCGTTGGGAATTGGAAACACAGTTGCGCAAACACTAAAATCTGTTTTGTTATTTGTTAAGAATGTCCCTAACACCTAATTATTATGAATGTTTGATAATTAGGGAACAAAGGTTGAAGATAATTTTCGAAATTATCTATGGGATGCATTTAATCTTGTCTTATTGTTTTTTAATAATCAGAGTTAATTGAAAGTTGGTATGGATGCCTACTCTAGTTTAAAAAAGTAGCTGTTACCACATATAGAATAGGAGAAAAAAAAAGTAGCTGTATTATAGTCCTAGCATTGAATGTGTATTCCATGTAACCATATTAAAACTTGAAATAGGCCACCAAATGTGCAAGTATATTGTTTGGATGCAATGTTTGCTTTTGGATTTATTTTGGCTCTGTGTTCAACCTACTTCTTACAGGATTTAATTAAGGTAGCTTAAATATTCAAAACATAACAATTAAGAATAAAAGCAGGTATTAGTTGTAGAAGGACTACATATAATTAGGGTCATCAGATAAGTTAATTACTAAGTTTGAAAGTTTCTTTCAAAACTTTTTTGAAAGAAAAAAATCTCTTAACATCCACATGGATGATGCATTCTACTTGTAGGTAATTTTTAATATTATATAGGGCTTAAAGGTTGTGTTTTAAAATTTTTTCTTTTCTCTTCATCATATACTTCATATTAGGCTCAACTTTTTCTCCCATAAAAGAAGTAAGCATTAAACTGGGTGCAGTGCCTGATGCCTATAATCCCATCACTTTGGAAGGGTGAGGCAGAAGGATCACTTGAGGCCAGGAGTTCATGACCAGCCTGGGCAATATAACAAGATCTTGTCTCTACACAAAAAATTAAAAAATTAGCTGGGTGTGGTGATCTGCACTTGTAGTCCCAGCTACTTGGGGCTGAGGGAGGACGATTGCTTGAGGCCAGTAGTTCAAGACTACAGGGAGCTATGATCACACCACTGCACTCCAGCCTGGGTGACAGAGTGAGACCCTGTTTCTAAATAAGTAGGTAGGTAGGTAGGTAGACAGACAGACAGACAGATAGATAGATGTAAACATTAAGGAAGAGGGACAATCCATAAATAAAGAGTAAAGAAAAACCAAAGGTTTGGAGATAGCCCTTCAATCACAAATTAGATAGCAGTAATTTTTGAAACTGCTTTAAAAATAATTAAGTGGTTTTGATTAGGTGTGTGATCATATTGCCTTGCATAAATTTTCTTCCAATATTTTTCCTGTGTATGTCTGTGCATATTTATGTATTTAATATAGTAGCAATGTATTGATATACTTTTATATCCTGATTATGTCATATTAATAAATTTCTTATTAAATATTCTTCATGCCATAATTTATCTCATCAGTCCCAACTCATTGGAATTTTGATTTCTTTTTAGTTTCCTCAGTAATAAAAAATGTACAGGTTAAGGGCTTAGTCGAAAAAAAATAATAAAAATGTTGCAAATGACAGTTTCTCCCACTTCCCCATAAATTCTTTAGATTAAACTAACAGATAATTGAAGTATTGGATCAAAGAATAGGAATGTTTTATGAGACAGCACAGATTTATTTATTTATGGATCCAAGGTCTCTCTCTGTCACCTGGGCTAGAGTGCAGTAGCATCATCATAGCTCATTGGAACCGCCAATTCCTGCGGTCAGGCAATCCTGCTGGCTCAGCCTCCAGAGTAGATGGGACTACAGGTATGTGCCACCATGCCTGGCTAATTTTTGTATTTTTTGTAGAGACAGGATCTTAATATGTTGCTCAGGCTGGTCTTGAACTCCCAGCCTCAAGTGATCCTCCTGCCTTGGCCTTCCAATGTGCTGGGATTAGAGGTGTGAGCCACCGCAACTGGCAAACAGACCCTTTTAAACCTCTAGCTTAAAACTTATTATGAAGGTAAAGAATGAGATAATGAACCCTAATATGTGTCATGGATTCATCCTTTCATTTTACATGTTTCTTTAGAAATGGTTCACCAAACCACCAGCCAGAGCCACCCCCTCCAGTCACAGATGTAAGTCTGAAGTTGAATGTCAATTATTTGCAGTGTCTTGTAAATGCTTTGATGACTATGCAATTCAATAGAAATGCCCGACTTTTAGGGAATATTATTTATTCATTTATTAAACAAATATTTATTGAATTTTGATTATGAACTAGATACTGTGTTAGGAACTAGAGATATGAAACAAGTAATGCAGGACCCTTACATTTGAGGAGATTACAGTCTAGCAGGAAAGATAAGAATGGAATTCCATGAGCATCTTGCATGGTTACAGAAAGAGAAGATTGATGTGGTGTAAACAACTTCCAAACTAGACCTGAGTATGGGGATATGGATGTAATTGGCTGTGTGTTACCTAATGGGGTAACAGATGAATCCATTTAGTTACCAAGAAACTGCTCTCTGCCTTTCAGAACCTCTTGCCAACAACCACACCTCAGGAAGCTCAGCAGTGGTTGCATCGGAACCGTTTTTCTACATTCACAAGACTTTTCACAAACTTCTCAGGTTAAATTTGCTTTTCTTTTTGTTTTCCCCAGCATGGGATATTCCTTTGTATTCATGTAAGATGTGTGTTTGTGTAAGTGAGAGAGAGAAGGGAGAGAGAGAGAGAGAGATCTTACTGCATTTTTCTGGTGAAATAAATTTCATAGAACCCTTTGTTTTAGACTTCCTCACCAGCTGCAACCGTGCTGTGAAATACTTAAAAAGAAATTCCTCCTAGTTTAAGCTCACTTTCATTTTTTTTTTTTTTTTTTTTTTACTAACTATGCAAGCTTGGAATCACTTTAATTTTAAACTGTTTATTCCAAGGCCAGGTCCGGTGGTTCATGCCTGTAATCCTAGCACTCTGGGAGGCTGAGGTGGGAGGATCACTCAAGGTCAAGAGTTCGAAACCAACCTGAGCAAGAATGAGACCCCCATCTCTACTAAAAATAGGAAGAAATTAATTGACCAACTAAAAATATATAGAAAAAATTAGCCGGGCATGATACCGCATGCCTGTAGTCCCAGCTACTCGGGAGGCTGAGGCAGGAGGATTGCTTGAGCCCAGGAGTTTGAGGTTGCTGTGAGCTAGGCTGACACCACAGCACTCTAGCCCGGGCAACAGAGTGAGACTCTGTCTTAAAAAAAAAAATGCTTATTCCATACAATACGTTTTAAAATGTATATTCCATACTATTTTATCAAGGGACATATTCAGGCAGTCTGAAAATTTCCTCTTAATATCACTGTATTGTATTTTACTCACACAATCCACATTTATTTAGCACCTTCTGTATACCGGGTATAGTAGGAATACACAAATGAATGAGGCGTACTTACTAATCAAAGAGCTCATTCATCTAATGTCCAAAACAAGGAAACAATAGCCAATGAAATCAAAATAAAACCTTGAAAAACATAAGTGCTCTGACAGTGAGACATTCAAGAGAGGGTCTGGTATTAGAGAATTTGTGTGACACATGAGGTGAATCTCGAGGGATAAGGAGCAATCTGTTGCTCAGAGTAGAAGATTTGTTTTTGTTTTTTTAAAATTGAGACAGAGGGCTGGGCTTGGTGGCTCACACCTGTAATCCTAGTACTTTGGGAGGCCAAGGAGGGAGGATTGCTTGAGGTCAAGAGTTCAAGACCAGCCTGAGCAAGAGTGAGACCCTCTACAAAAACTAGAAAAAATTAGCTGCGTGTGTTGCCGTGCACCTGTAGTCCTAGCTGTCTGGGAGGCTGAAGTAGGAGGATTGCTTGAGCCTAGGAGTTTGAGGTTTCAATGAGCTGTGATGAAGCCACTGCACTCTAGCTGGGGTGACAGAGTGAGACCCTGTCTCAAGGAAAAAAAAAAATTAAGACGGAGTCTTGCTATGTTGTCGAGGCTGGCCTCAGACTCCTGGCCTTATGCAATTGTCCTGCCCCAGCCTCCCAAGTACTGGGACTATAGGAATGGACAATTAACTGCACCAAGCTTAGATAGTGAAAGGATATTTTTGTTTTGTTTTGTTTTTGAGACAGAGTCTCACTTTATTGCCCAGGCTAGAGTGAGTGCCGTGGCGTCAGCCTAGCTCACAGAAACCTCAGACTCCTGGGCTCAAGCAATCCTACTGCCTCAGCCTCCCGAGTAGCTGGGACTACAGGGATGCGCCACCATGCCCAGCTAATTTTTTCTATATATATTAGTTGGCCAATTAATTTCTTTCTATTTACAGTAGAGACAGGGTCTCGCTCTTGCTCAGGCTGGTTTTGAACTCCTGACCTCGAGCAATCCACTCACCTCGGCCTCCCAGAGTGCTAGGATTACAGGCGTGAGCCACTGTGCCCGGCCAGTGAAAGGATATTTAAAACAGGAAGACCAACTTGCTAATTAGGCATCATCAGTGTGGTGAAAACATAGGATCAAGTGGAGAAGTTAATTGAGAAGGAATTGAGATTGGAGAGGAGGCAGAGGCCAGGTTATGAAGGGCCTTATATACAATGCAAAAGATTACAGATTATAACACAATGGTAATGAGGTGTCCTTGCAATAGAGTCCATTTTAGTAGTCATTAACAAAGAGAATCTTTGCCTTTATCATCCATTTTCTTTATATTTATTCCAGGAGCAGATTTATTGAAATTAACTAGAGATGATGTGATCCAAATCTGTGGCCCTGCAGATGGAATCAGACTTTTTAATGCATTAAAAGGCCGGTATGTAATTAGTGTTAAAGTATCAATAAGCTTAGATTCCAAATGGGTTTGGATTCAGGGATTCTTCATAGTACTCTGCACAGCTAAATACATTCTTGTCAAAACATTTTTTACCAATGTACCAAATAAAGATGAAAAATATCCTTTCTTATACTTGATCTAAGGAATTCCTCATGATATCTCATTTTTCATTTCCAGGTAATAATTTTTATCCAGCATTTATTCATTGTCCTTATCATGAGCCAGGTACTATTAAAGGCTCTGGGGCTATATTGGTGAACAAATATAAGGTACCCATTGTTGGGGAGTTCACTTTCTAACAGAGAGACAGATAAAGATATAAACAATAGTATTTTGGATAATGATAAGTGCTTTGAAGGAAAACAAAACAAATAAGCAAAAAACAAGGTTGTGGGGTGTAGAGTACCCAGAATGTGATCAGGAAAGACCTCTTTGAGGAGGAGATATTTAAGATGAGTTATGAGAAGGATGAAGCTCTGGAGTCATATGAGGGAAGATTATTCTAGGCAGAAGGAACAACAGGTGTAAAGGCCCCAGCTGGTTTTAACTGGGGAAGAGGTCATTGGTCAGTTTGGGTAGAAATTAAGTGTCTGTTTGCAAATGTTACAATACAGAGTAATAAGTAGTCCCATTTTGGGATTTATAATTTTAAGTAGTAGTAATATTGATGGAAAAAACATGCAGGTCATTGTCAACAAAACTAAATCAGCGACTAAAAAATAAAATAGATTGTGAAGTATTTGTGTTTGTCTACATAACAAGGGATATCGAATCAGATTGGCTGTAATCTTAGAAAATTTTAAGAAAAGAGGTGACTTGGGGAAAAAGAATGGATCTCATTTTTAAGTGTATTATCTAAAGAGTGCTAGGAAATAGGAAGGAATGAGATGATCAGATCAAGAGGTAATTAAATACCTTTGTCTAAGAAGAATAGCAAGAGGGCTTAGGCTACTTAGGAGAACGAAATGAGAGACATAAGATTCTCCAGTTTACCATAATGCCACTTTTAGGTAAAAAATATATCTTGAACCTGACCCATAAAACAGTGGCTCATACATTTTGAATATTTCTGACCTTTACACCAAAGATCCCAAATTCAAATGACTACAGAGGCCACATAGGTAATGTAAATGAGTGACAGTCAAGTCTGGGGTATAGTGAAGAATGCATGTACCCTGTAAGGAGTATAGCTGATTGTTTTCAGTTGAGAATGGGGGCCTCAGATTGCTTGATCTGATTTTCAAGAAAAGCCAAAAGTTCAGAGGTTTATGTGATGCCTCCTGTTGGAACTAGTTCAGCATAAGGATAAAAAGAAGAAGAAGAAAAAAAATCACCAGTGGGAAACTAATAAAACATAGCAGATTTATTGCATTTGGCCCACAAGCTGCCAGTTTTCAACCCTTGCTCTATACTATTAATGTAGAAACACATGTTCTCCCTTAAAATGTGCTTACCATAGAAAATGTAAGACTAACAGCTGTTTTCTCCCCCTTAGGATGGTGCGTCCAAGGTTAACCATTTATGTTTGTCAGGAATCGCTGCAGTTGAGGGAGCAGCAGCAACAGCAGCAGCAGCAGCAACAAAAGCATGAGGATGGAGACTCCAATGGTACTTTCTTTGGTAGGTCGTTCTGGACAGACCAGGACGGATATGAAGAAAGGTGAAGAGATAACCTATGCATGTGTGATGGGAATTTCTCAAACAGCAGATTCAACATTTGCTAGAAGTAATGATAATCACTAACATTTATTGACCTCCTAATATATGCCAGGTGCTATTCTCAATGCTTTTTACATGCTATAATTTTTACAGCTAATATCTCCAGTTTGCAGAAGATTTTATTGTTATCTCCAACATTCACATGAGGAAATGAGGCCTAAGGATATTGAATAGCTTGCCCTAGATCACGTAGCTAGCAAGTGGCTGAGCCAGGATTTAAACACAGGCAGCCTGATTTCTGAGTCCTTCAGAAAAGTGTGCGTTCCTAGTGATCAGATTACCTATAAGAACAAACTGTACTGACTGCTGTTGCTCTCTCCCTTTTGCAGTGTACCATGCCATCTATCTAGAAGAACTGACAGCCGTTGAATTGACAGAAAAAATTGCTCAGCTTTTCAGCATTTCCCCTTGCCAAATCAGCCAGATTTACAAGCAGGGGCCAACAGGAATCCATGTGCTTATCAGTGATGAGGTAGACTTTTTTCAGTACAGTGGAATTACCACATGACAATTTGTCAGGGCATGTATTAATAACAGGAGCAAGAGCAGTTCTACTGGGACAGAGTGCTCTGTTTTCTAGATCAGAGGGTTTCACACTTTTTTGTTTGCTTACCTCCTAAAATAATTTTTAAAAATTGCATATCCCCTTGCACATTTTTAGGTTGGCTTAAAATTTTTGGTTACAAGTTTAAATAGTTGTAAAAGATGTCATTTGTGGGCTACATATGACATTTTAAAATGAAATGGTTACATCACTGTTCTAATTGCATTCCATGTAACCTAAATACAAGAGTGATTTTTTTCAGCAAAACACATACTTTCATTGGTTAAAAAAAAAAAAAAAGAGTGATTTAATATCACCATCATCCCATTTAAAAAAATACATGACTGTACTTTTCTTTAACAGAATTTTTAGGCCAGACTTGGTTTGTGCCTGTAAATCTAGCACTTTGGGAATGTGAGGCAGGAAGATGGCTTGATGCCAGGATTTCAAGACCAGCATGAGCAATATAGCAAGACCCTGTCTATACAACAACAAAAAAACATATTAGCTAGGTGTGGTTGCGTGTACCTGGAGTCCCAGTTTCTTGGGAGCCTGAGACAGGAGGATCACTTGAGCCCTTGAGTTTGAGGTTGCAGTGAGCTATAGTGATGCCATTGCACTCTATCCCAAACAACACAGCAAGACACTGCCTCAAAAAAAAAAAAAGAAAGAAAAGAAAAGAAGTGCATCTGCTAATAAGGTTCCATTTTCCACCCTTACCCTTGTACATTATTTCATCGGTAGATGATTACTGCCTATTTATTGCTAGAATGACATAAAGTTCAGGATCAATTTCCCCTTAAAATCTGGGGGGCGGAAATGCTGTGGAATCTGATTCATATAAATTTATAGATAGGAATGGATGAAATTTTGTTATAACAACATCACTAAATTATTTTGAACTTCTGAATTATGTACCAAAAATTACATAGTGATATTATCAAAAATTATTTTGGGTGGAGTGCAGTGGCTCATGCCTGTAATCCTAGCACTCTGGGAGGCTGAGGCGGAAGAATCGGAAGGATAGCTTGAGGTCAGGAGTTTGAGACGAGCCTGAACACGAGGGAGACCTCATCTTTATGAAAAAAATAGAAAAAATTAGATGGGGCGTGGGCATCCTGGTGAGCACCTATAGTCTCAGCTACTGGGGAGGCTGAGGCAGGCAGATTGCTTGAGTTCAGGAGTTTGAGGTTGCTGTGAGCTAGGCTGATGCCACAGCATTCTAGCCTGAGCAACAGATTGAGACAATATTTTGAAAAAAAATTATTTTGAATCATCTATCATTTGACAGTGATTAGGTCACTCAATAATTCTGATGAAAGGAAAAATTAGAAATCATGTGATTCACAGTAGGGTTTGTTACTTAATCATTTGAATTCACCTTTGCAGTTCTACTTTGGCACCCCAGGCTTTTTTTTTAATAGCCCACAGCAGGGCAGCTTTGTAGGATTCTGAGAGGGTGAAAGTCATGCCTTTATTTTGTAAAATGGAGGAATGGGGTTTGAGGGGGGAGGTGTTCTAGGAAAATTAAAGAGGTTTTAGGAAAGAATTCATATGGAAGTTGAAGGCCTGCAAGTAAGTTCTGTCATGTGGGCCTATCAGTGTCTATGTGTGCCTCGGAAGGTCTCACCCCAGGGAAATGCATATCCCACTTTTAAGACAACTGTTCTAGACTGCTCAGTTTTTTTAAGATTTAAAAACCAAACTGGGGAGAAAAAAAAGAAAAAACACAAACAGGCTTGTGAAGCAGGCTTTTGAAAGTTAGGAGGAAAAAACCCATATGATTCTATAGATATTCATGTAATACTCTATATGGACCTGTAAGATCTCACATCTAAACCGCTCTGGATTTGGGTTAGTCGTAATAACATAGAAATAGAAAGGTATTATTTTCACTTAAATATAATGTACTAAAAAGCCACATAATCAAAATGAATGCAGCAAACCAAAGTTTTTAATAATCTAAATTTTCTTGTTTTTTTCAGATGATACAGAACTTTCAGGAAGAAGCCTGTTTTATTCTGGACACAATGAAAGGTAATAAGATAGTAAGATAAACACCTTTCTCTAAGCAGTTTAAAAGCTTTACTTTACTACTACTAAGTAAAGTACATGTTTTACTTCTTTGAGGAGAGATAAGGAAAGTATCAACTATATTTGAATTAGAGAAAGTAACATTAGAGATTGTTCCTTTGTATGAGTTGGCTTATTGCCATTCTTAGAGTAGACAAAGTGTAGCTGATAACTCTCCACCATTCTCTTCCATCTTTCATTGACAGATGAGGAGATCAAGGCATATTGTTTTTATAATGCATATTTATTACAAATATTCTGTGCTAATTAATAAGTACGCTCCTCTTTTTCCTTCTCACAAGAAACCTTACCATACTTCTTTTGTCCTACTGTGTTTTCGAAGTGACTAAAGATTTCTCTCTCTCTCTTTTTTTTAACAGCAGAAACCAATGATAGCTATCATATCATACTGAAGTAGGAGTGGGGCATTCCATGCTCAGTGGCTGCTACTTCCTTCACCTCTTGAAAATGGCCCTCTTGGAGGGGGATGTGAACGGAGATTGGAAGGTCTGCAAGGAACCTGACCCATCTGACTGTGTGTTGGGGGGAGTCCAGGCCACGGAGGCAGAATCCCAGCCTTCTGTGTTAGCCCCATGCTCTTGTGGCACACACAGATTACTGCCCACCATGCAGTTCTGCAGCTATTTCTTAGTTAAAATTTCTGAACCCTGTTCTTATTGAATATCAATAGAAACTCCACATCATTTAGGGTGTATGTAGGGCATAATAATGATGGGAATTGTGTGATATTTAACAGATGTTAAATTTTGTGATATAGAGCCATGTAAATTTTTTTCTAATATAAAAATGAGCATCTATATTCATAAGACTAGGTTCTCAATCTCTTTGTACTGTTCTCAAATGTACTGGTCTCAGAAAGCCTCTCTGCTTTTTGCCACAATTGGTCCTTGAAGCTTTATCAATGAGGAGAAATACAGAGATAGAATTTTTCTTTTGGTTCCCCTATAATACTACAACTAATAGTAATTTTAGCTAACATTTATTGAGCCAGGCAGTGTGATGAATTCTTTAAATGATTATCTTGTTTAATTCTCTTACTAACCCTGTATGAAGTAGGTGCTGTAGTGATCCCTCACTGAAAGAGAGGGAATGGAGACACACGGTGGCTTGCTGGGTAACAGGCAGCCAGCAGGTAGTCATGCTGAAATCCATATCCAGGTAATCTGGCTCTTATTAGTCAGTATCCAATACATCCAGTGCCACCCTTGATAGCCTGTGCTCACTGTTGTTTATTACTTTGGCCCTCTGGTGAATAGGACATAACACTGAGTGTGAACTGCGGAATTAACCACTGAAAGAGACAAACCACACTTAAATAATGATGAACAAATCAAGACCTACAGAAAATGAAAACATAGATGTTCTTTAAGTATCATCAATTATTGAAATCACAGAATTTGAGGTGGTAAAAACTTGGGATTATCTGTAATTCCCCAAATCTACTGTTTTTGAATGGCATTGTCAAACTATTTATTAATGAGTTAGTCCAATCCCTGCTTTCTGTTTCCTTGCTCTACACCTTCTCTTGGTAAAGGAAGTTCTTTTACTCGTGCAGTGTTTTTTTATATAAGCTTTATAAGAAATGCATTCCTGTCCCATTCACACTCTTACCGTATGTTTTTATTCTTAAGAATGATCATGTATGTGTGTGTGTGTGTGTGTGTGTGTGTGTGTGTATGTAAGTGTGTAGCATAATGGGTCTTCTTTTTTCACTTGTACAATTTTATCCAGAAATACCTTTACAGATTATATTGAGGTGAACCAAGATTATGCTCAGAGATTCTGTATTGGACTTGAATTTGTGTGTGTGTGTGTTTTATACAGAGATTTTTATTCATTAAAATCAACCTGCATCATGGTCTTATTTCTCTTGGTTTAAAACAAATTGAAAACAGAAAATTAAGTCAATGACTTGTTTAAAACTGATGTGGGTAACTTGACATATCAGGCCAGAATGCATTTTTGTTGAATGATTACCAGATGTCCTTATTTGGAGAAGACGTTTGTAGTTGTATTATGTTCCTAACTGGTTGTCAGCTTTAGTGAGGTCACTTCTCAGCATGCTGCTATTGGTATTTATTTATTTTTTTCCCTAGTGTGTTTGGATGTTTGGGTGGAAAGGTTGTAGTAGGTGACTTTTAAGATTTCTTCCAAATCTGTGAATTTATGAATCTTGCTAACTGTAAGTTATGCATAGAATTTTATTACTATATTCACTATAAATAATATTACTAAGTTTTACTTGAAGTTAGGTTTTTTTTTTAGAGTAGCCTTCAAATTTAAGGAAATGAATTTATACAACCCTGTAATTATAGATCCTTAAATTTACTGGAAAATCTTTTAGGCTTTCTTTAGCTCCAAAAAAAAAAAAAATTATTGTGTCAGTGCAATATAATTGGTAAGAATTAGTATAGTGGCTGGGCACTGTGCCTCACGCTTGTAATCCTAGCACTCTGGGAGGCCAAGGTGGGAGGATTGCTTGAGGCCAGGAGTTGGAGATAAGCCTGAGCAAGAGCAAGACCCCATCTCTTCTAAAAATAGAAAAAAAATTAACCAGGCATGGTGGCACATGCCTATAATCCTAGCTGCTTGGGAAGCTGACGCAGGAGGATCGCTTGAGCCCAGGAGTTTAAGGCTGCAGTGAACTATGATCATGCCACTGCACTCTAACCAGGACAACAGAGTGAGACTCTGTCTCAAAAAATATTATTTGTTGCCCGGGCTAGAGTGCCATGGCATTAGCCTAGCTCACAGCAACCTCAAACTCCTGGGCTCAAGTGATTCTCCTGCCTCAGCCTCCCAAGTAGCTGGGACTACAGGCATGCGCCACCATGCCCGGCTAATTTTTTGTATATATATTTTTAATTGGTCAATTAATTTCTTTCTATTTTTAGTAGAGACGGGGTCTCGCTCAGGATGGTTTCGAACTCCCAACCTCGAGCAATCCGCCCGCCTCGGCCTCCCAGAGTGCTAGGATTTCAGGCATGAGCCACCACGCCCTGCCCAGAGTGAGACTCTTGTTTCAAAAAAAAAGAAAAAAAAGAATTGGTATAATGATAAAGTATTGTAATTAATTCAATTTTCTTTAAAAAATTACATGCTTAGTGTTGATCCTTTCAATTAAATGAAAATTTCAAAGTATTAATAGCTTTTTCATTATGAAAGTAATATACAAAAATGATAAATTCAAATAATAAAGAAGGGTACTATGTAACTTTTGCCCCTTACCTCTTAGTCCTACTCTATAGAGTTCATCATTGCAAAAAATTCTCCTCCCTATCACATAAATACATACACACACACGCACACATACACATACTCAGGTGGGCTCATGTTATACTAATGATCCACAATTTGATTTTTGTATTTAACATATTTTTATAGTAGAACTTATAGTTCTGTATCATTCTTCTTAAAAAATGGCCATTCTCTATTTTTTTTTTTTTTTTAGTATAGCTAATGTAATTTTTTTTATTTGAAAAAATTTCCCCCTATTATATAAGCACTACATAGTCATCAAAGAACATTTGGATAACAGAGTTAAGTAAAAGAAAGTGTGAAGTCTCAGCACCTGAAGAAAGCCACTGTTAACATTTTCTTTTCTTTCCTTCATTACTTTTGGCCATTCTCTATTGATGCCATTTAGGTTAAATATATTTGAACATGCATCTTCATGAGTTTTTTGTATATATCTCTAAGATATATTCCTAAAAGTAAAAGTTTTATTTTTTTAATAATATGACAGTTTATCTTAAAATTAAAGTAGATGGTTTAATATTTCCATATGAGAAGCAGAATGGTTAGATTTTAGGCCCTTTCAAGAAGTAGAATAGCATTCTATCTGACTTACCATTGAGTACTGTTACTTTCAAGTATATAAGTTCAATATAGAAAAATCTGTTATAAAGACTTGGTAGTTAAGAAGTGTTATTGAGAAATAAAAGGGGGAGGGTCATTGCAGAATTCTAAGGATTGAGTATTAGTCACTAATTGAACTGTGGCTATGAAGTTATAAGATTGTTTGCCCAAAATTATGGCCCAGTAAGAATGCTTGCTCATGTAAATGGTTTATTTAAGAAGTTATTTAAAGGGAGGAGAAATTTGAATTGTCTTATTGACTGGAAAATGATTATGATACAACAAATAGAAAACAACCTAAGGCCTGAGAAAACAAGGTCCACATTAAGGGGCAGACACTCTGATTCCTGGAAGTCAGGCACTATCAGGCACTGGGTGTGTTATGAGGGCAGAGCATGATGTCAACACTGAGCTGGAGGCACATGGGGAGGCTTGGCAAGTGAAGAAGGCTTGGGATAACGGAACCAACCATTTCTGATTTATGCACACTAGAGGAGTGTTCTCAAAACTCTTTGTATCCCCAAGTATTGTGAGAAAGTCTTTTGTATAGGGTTGCTGCAGAGATTTGGACCGCCTTGCAAACCACCATGCAGGATTGAACAGAACTTCAGCATTTAGTCTTAAAAGTAACACAAATTTAGAGTACAAATATTTTAAGTCAGGACTGAGTTTCTCCCTCTTCGTTGTGGCTTTTCTCTCTGACCAGACCTAATAATTCCAGACAGTTTGAGACTGGAGAACCATAGTTGAAGAACCATTTTATGGTGTTACTGAATCATTGTTCTGCTTCCTTGGCCACATATAGTTCCTCTACAGGAATTTGATCTTTTATGGTCCCTACTGGTCTGTTATGAGAACTCCAATCTTGACAGGAATAGCACAAATGTCCCACCTAGCTGCATCATTTATATACTATTTCATTGAAAGCAATCCTACCTCACTCCTCTGCTTCTCCTATAAATGCTCTGTTTTCTTAGTTGTGGATTAAGGCTTTCTATACTAGAATATTTACTTTTAGTTTGTGATTAAATTTTTGTTTCATTATACCAACTCCAAAATAGAATGAGCTGGGAAAGATGCCCCATGCAACATGGGACTAATGCCATCAGCACTTGTTTTCTTCTGCATACTTTATTTCTCCTTGCTTCTTTTAATGACCTTATATTTCACCTTCAGCCTTGAACTTTCATCTATTTCTGCTTCTTCCTTTTTATTTCTGTGTCTTTCCTCTTGATTTCCAGATTCCTCTGTGTTGTTCCTTATGAACTTAGGTCTAAGATAAAATCTACAATGTTATCTTGGAAATTTCAAGTAAGCCTACCATTTGCATTTTCAAAGTCAGAGATTAAAAAGTTGTATATTGGCCTGGTGGGGTGGCTCACACCTTAATCCTAGCACTCTGGTAGGCCAAGGCGGGTGGATTGCTCGAGGTCAGGAGTTCGAAACCAGCCTGAGCAAGAACGAGACCCCATCTCTACTATAAATAGAAAGAAATTAATTGGCCAACTAATATATATAGAAAAAATTAGCCGGGCATGGTGGCGCATGCCTGTAGTCCCAGCTACTCAGGAGGCTGAGGCAGTAGGATTGCTTGAGCCCAGGAGATTGAGGTTGCTGTGAGCTAGGCTGATGCCATGGCACTCAATCTAGCCTGGGCAACAAAGTGAGACTCTGTCTCAAAAAAAAAAAAAAAGTTGTATATGAATTAAAGTTTTCAATTGGATTAATGTCAATTATAAGGGAACTTGCTATTTAAAATAATATTTATTGTCTTATTATACTATTTTGTACTGTATGTGATCTTTTAGGACATGAGTTATAAGTGGTTTACCTATTACATGAATCTATGTTTTCATATATTAGATTTGCTTAAGATATACACATTCCTCATTTTAATCACTACAGATTCTTGTTTTCTTCTTAAGTTTTCATGTCTGATTTTTCATTTAAGGATTTAGTTAATATCCTCCCCGAGACATTTTTATAACCTTGCTTCAGACTTTCATTCACCTCCTTGAGCATAAGCTTGCCCTTTATAAATTCACAACTCTGCACCCTACCCTCAAACCTTGCTGTTACTTTGCTTTTATAAATGGTGTGTGTGTATTATGCACATATTTAAATAACTTTGTGTATATCCTTTTTGAAACTTTCCTTGATGGCATTTATACAGCTTTTTTGCTGTTTGTGCTTTCAAATTGCTGTGGTATTATCTTTTTCCCAGATTTACACATACTGATCTATTTCTGTTAGTGCGGAATTATTTACAAAGAGGTGCCTGTATTTCTAGATCTGGAATATAATGTAAATTGGTGAAATAATATACAACTTTCTGCTAAATCTTCAGGTTCCTTTTCAGAAAAACAAATACAATGCCTTAGATTTTTATCATAACTCTTTTTTTCTAAGAAGTTCAGCACATAATATCCTCTGTCCTATCATTTTCACCTCTCTGGGGAGTGTATTCTTTTTATCTTTTGGTGGTAAAGGGTAGTTGATACAGTATATATTTTGGTGTCTGGTAGGCATGTGTTCAAATCCTAGATCTTGCTCTTCCTGGATGTGACCTTGGACAAAATCTTACAAGCCTCAATTTTATCATCTTAAAAAGGAGATAATAAATACTTAATTGATAAGGTTGTTGGAGAGATTAAAAGAGGTAATGAGTATACAACACAATTTTATTTTGTACTGAATACTGTATACTTCTTCAGTTATTCAGTAAACTAAAGACACTACTGATTATAAGATCACTTCCACAGACCTAACTGTAACACTGACATATAAACACTGCCTACGACTGACCTGTGGTTTTCATCTGTGGCTGCTATTTGCAGTGCCTCCTCTAGGTCTTATGTCTTTTCTTCCTATTCTTTGACTTTTTTGCCCCTAAAACAGACCACCTGTCTGTGATTTTGCATTCCAAGCTGGTCCATATATATGTTGCAGCATGGTCTGGAACAAAGCAGTGACATTTAGAATTGGACATCTAATGTTATT